TGTCACTCGTAAATCTGGCTGCGCATTAGAGCACTAAGGTGTGTCTGCGTTCTCTGACATCTTCTGTCATATTTAAAGTTAGCCTGTTTTTCCAGACGGGAGCCTACCTCCTCCGCCAACGCCTCACGCGTACGGTCATTCTTTCTACTAGAATATCACAGCTTGATCTAATTTACTGAGAATAATAAGACAGAAGAAGGTGGAACTTGCTCTTACACAAATTCAGAAATTTGTTTCCTAGGGTATTATTTACGCATGCATCCCAAACCGCCAGCCAAGTATAAGATTGGGAGGCGGGAATGGCAAGTGACAATACTGCGATCTTCTAAAAAGACGGCCGTAGATAAAAAAAGCCTCAGTGATAGTTACATGATGACATTTTAAACAGTTTTACGCACAGGTGGATGAAAATTAGTTCGCGTTTTCTGCGGCCGTGAAACGTTAGCGGTGACGCCCACGTCAAAGTTGATGGATTATAGGTCCACTAAGTCCAATGAAAATGTGTCGAAAATTCGGTTATCATTGTTGGCGCTCTGAAGACAAAGCAGTTATGTGATACAGTAATCCTTGAGCCTCAAATACTCTTCGTGATAAAACTTCCCTCAATGAGATTGGGGATTCGAGCCTCACAGTTAAAACACTTTAATTTTCATTTTTTAAGAACATTATCATGAAAGCGTTTATTAATGCTGTTCAGGAGTGGGTGAATAAATGATCAATTAATTTGCTACGACCTTCAATTCTGAACTTCCTCTTCTAAAATCAAAGATGCCGTTTGATCGGTAGGATGCAACAGCCAGTACAAAACGCTAGCAATGACCCTGAGATCTTTATAATCATAGAAATACCATCTTGTATATTATTTCAGCTCCAAAATTCCCTATTAAGATAAATTTAGTGGCTTAAATGAAAGGTGATAACCCTTCTACGGCAATGCGTGGATTTACGAAAAGTTTTCTTCTAAACAACTCCAAAAAGGGATTAGATAAACACAGGTGCTGAATTTATAATTTACATATGATAGAAGTCGTCATATTTGAGCGCGCTTTTCGACTATTACGCTACATTTTGGTCATAAATAAAATCTCTTATTACTCTAAAATTTTATGCAAAGTGTTTGCGGAAATTATCACAATTATTAACCTTTCGAACACTGAATCCAAAAAATACAATCTTATTGACAGATAATACACATAACTCACTGTTTGGATTTGTGGAATTTTTAAACATAAACACATCTATAATTGTATATATTGTTGGATTTATATGTTCAAGTTGCTCCAAGTCAGTGAGTTTATGGTTAAGATATCATTTTAGTTAAATGTACTGAACTATATTGCATGTTGTCTTATTGTATAGTTGTCGTCGCTTTTTGCCCTTTTTTCTGTGAACTGTTTCCTTTGTTGATGTTGTTCTCATTGTTTGTCCGTTATTTTCTGATTTTGAGGGGAGCAACCCAAAAAGTTGCTTCTCTCTAAACTTTTACTTAATGTAATCATTCTTTTCTCAGGCGTGAGGCTAGCAACCCCACCCTGTAAACAAAAATTGCTAAAGAAACTTCAGTATGTTGAACCTCCTTGCACCAAAAGAAAAAGTCTGTGTAGGAACATGGAACGTCCGAACTATGTACGAGACTGGAAAGCTGCCCAGATCGCCAACGAGATGAAAAGATACGGAATACAAGTGCTGGGAATATGTGAGAGCAGATGGAATGGGAGTGGACTCACCAAATTGTCAACAGGTGAGTCAGTGATCTACTCCGGTCACCCAGAAGATAACCACACGCACACCGAGGGCGTGGCTATCATGATGTCACCAACGGCAACGAAAGCCCTGATACAATGGGAGGCGATTTCGTCCAGGATAATGACCGCCAGGTTCAACTCCAAAGGAAGGAAAGTGTCAATCATACAATGTTATGCACCCACAAACAACGCAGACCTCGAGAAGAAAGAAGAATTCTACAGGCAACTACAGGCAACAATGGACAATACTCCAGCTGGCGACATGAAAATACTAATGGGAGACATGAACGCCAAACTGGGACCAGACAATACGGGAAGGGAACTCATCATGGGTAGAGAAGCTCTAGGAGAAATGAATGAAAACGGAGAACTCTTCGCCGACTTCTGCGCCTTCAACGAACTGGTGATTGGTGGCAGTGTATACAAGCACAAAGATATCCACAAGGCTACATGGGTGTCACCAGACGGGCAAACCAAAAACCAAATCGACTTCATCTCAATCTCAAGGAAGTGGAGGCGCAGCCTACTGGACACAAAAGCAAGAAGAGGAGCAGACGTTGGCTCAGACCACTATCTCGTACAAGGGACAATCCAAATCAAATTAAAAGCTTTCAGGGAATCAGGAGCTGCAGATAGACCACAAGCCAAGTTCAACACTCAAAAGCTGAAGGACCAGGCTACAAAGGACATCTTCATTGCAAGCATAAAGGACAAAGCCGAGACACAAATCAACACTAGCGAAGAGGTCGGCGTTGAAAAGCACTGGAACAACTTGAAAACGGTGTGGAGCCAAACCTGCATAGAAATTCTAGGCAGAAAAAAGAGACAGGACAAACAGTGGCTCACTACGGACACTTGGAAACTAATAGAAGAGAGAAGGACAGTGAAGCAAAAGATTATCCAGTGCACGACGAGCAACAAAAACAGGAGCTGAATGCAAGCTACAATACACTGAACAAAAGAGTGAAGAAAAGTGCCAGGGAAGACAAAAGAAAATATTATGAAACCATGGCAAACGAAGCAGAACAAGCTGCAGGCAAAGGAGACCTCGCCACACTCTACCAAACAACTAGGAACCTTTCGGGCAAACGTTCGACACAGATTAAGCCAATAAAGGACGACAATGGAAAGTCAATCACCAAAGAGGTGGAACAGAGAAAGCACTGGGTTGAACACTTCAAAAGACTTCTAAATCGTCCGCCACCTACAACACGTCCAGCAATACCAACAACGGAAGCAGAACTACCAGTGAACACTGACCCCCCGACGAAATCAGAAGTCCTGAATGCAATCAAGATGCTTAAAACTGGGAAAACACCGGGACCAGATGGAATCCCAGCAGAGGCTTTGAAAATAGACCCAGAGACAACAGCGGACTTGATGACACCACTACTGGAGAAGGTGTGGAAAGAGGGCAAAGTACCCGAGGATTGGAAGAACAGTTACTTATTCAAACTTCCAAAGAAAGGAGACTTAAGTCAATGTAAAAACTGGCGTGGAATTATGCTTCTGTCCATTCCAAGCAAGATACTAAGTCGCATCATCCTGGAGAGAATCAAACAAGCCCTAGATGAAAAACTTCGTCCGGAACAGGCTGGATTCAGGAGAAACAAATCATGTATTGATCAAATCGCCACTCTACGGATCATCATTGAACAAAGCTTGGAATGGCAGTCACCTCTCTATCTCAACTTCATCGACTTTGAAAAGGCCTTCGACAGCGTCGATCGAGAGGTCATTTGGAAACTACTTCGCTACTACGGGGTCCCATCGACAATTATACACCTCATCCAACAGTTATACGACAATGCTGCATGCCAAGTAATCCACAACGGGAAACTTACGGAAGCCTTCGAAGTGAGGACGGGAGTGAGGCAAGGCTGTCTACTATCACCAATGATCTTCCTGATTGCAATTGATTGGATAATGCGACAGACAACGGCAACCAACGAGGGAACAGGCATAAAATGGACTGACACAAAAGACTTGGAGGATCTGGATTTCGCCGATGATATATGTCTGATTTCCCATAAACTGGAAGATATGCAAGTGAAAAGTAACAAGTTGGCAGAAGAAGCATCAAAGATAGGACTTCACGTGAACATAGATAAAACAGAGATGATGAAGATTCCTAGCCAACATCAACAACACCAACAGACCACAATAAGCATAAATGGGAAGAACCTGAAAGAAACAACCTCCTTCACCTACCTGGGAAGCATCGTCTCAACTACAGGCGGAACTGACGAGGACATCAAAGCCAGAATCGGAAAAGCAAGACAAGCTTTCATTACTCTCAAATCTGTGTGGAGGTCAACAGCAATCAGCATCAAAAATAAGATCCGGATTTTCAACTCCAATGTGAAGTCAGTGCTACTATACGGATCAGAGACTTGGCGAGTCATAAAGAGCATCTCAAACAAACTTCAAACCTTCATTAACAACTGTCTCCGCTCAATACTCAAGATCAGATGGCCAGAAAAGATCAGCAACAGGGATCTCTGGGAGCGAACCAATCAGGAACCGATTGTGAAACAAATAGGCAGAAAGAAATGGAGATGGATTGGCCATACGCTGAGGAAACCATCAAGTGACATCACTAGACAAGCCCTCGAGTGGAACCCGAAAGGGAGGCGGCGAGTTGGTCGTCCAAGGGTGACTTGGAGGAGGTCATGCGAGGAGGAGATGAAAGCATGTGGACAGACCTGGAGCAGGGTGAAAAAGTTGTCAGAAAACCGAAGTCAATGGAGGTGCGCAGCTGAAGCCCTATGTTCCTCTAGGAACTAAAGGATACAATAATAAATAATAATAATCAAGTCCTGATTCTCCTCTTCAGTATTATGGCAGATTCGACGGGACTGCTGAGTATTCTGTGGTTTCATATGAGGCCACCGTCAAAATCTAAAGACAACTAAACTGGTGGGGCAAGGTGGGCATTCTTCGAGCAGATATTAAATAAAAGCCGACGCAGCTAAAGGGCGTACTCCCGCCTTCAAAGTATACGGTCAACAGTATATACAAAATCAAGGAGGCTGTCATTTCTTTAGTTGACACTCATGGTGGCCAAATTCCACGGTAAATCAAAGCTCGAAAATCCACATCGTCCTAGAACCTGGGGGCCCTTTTAGGCTTCATAATATTGGTAAACCCATGTTATTTCATGTGCATAGTAAGTGATGCAACTCGTGACGGAAAAGTGCATAGAATGAGAAACCACTCCTTCGAATTTACTTTCGGTGGACTGGGGAAAATTTGAAAATCGGCCTTGCATTTAATTAATTGTGTAGGAATCTATTTAATATGGAATATCCTTAAAATTTGGTTTCCTTCCTTTCAAACCTTGGAAAACGAACAAAATTCGCCTCGACCTAGCTTCGAAAGAGGGGCAGGAGATTACGAAATAGTTTTGATTATTAAGTTAATGACCTACCGTCAGAGGTAGAACTGCACGTATTCATTTAGATTTATCAAAAACAAGTTTTTGCGGTGGAACATATGAAAAACAAAATTTCTTACTAGCCTGAGGTTTATTATTTTGCAGTCAGTAGTTCTCAAATGTCCTTCGGTATTTCCTGAGGCAAATTTACTGCGCGTATTTCTACGTTGGCGCTACAATTATGGGTGAGCTAAGTTGGGGAGTTGAGTTGTGGGTACGTACGTTCTCAATGGATTTTAAATCCTTTGTAGCATTTATTTTGAATATTTTGTTTCGGTACTTTCATTTGGAAGTCCTCTCAGATTTATTTTGACTACTTTATCTGAATTCGTCGAATCGTAAAGGAAGTCTTACGGCATTATTATGTAGCTGAGTTGTTTTGTTTCAGCAAGCGCCAGTGTAATGTAACCAAAAGGGGTTTTCACTTCAACCTGCTATTGGGTATTGAGAGCCAAATGTCTATAATAGTTATCTCGTAGACTGTCGTAGAAAGTTTTGTAAGAGGCTTATTATATGTGGTTAAGTCTGTATAACTAATGTGATTTGCGTTTTAAAAATGCAGTTCGTACGCACTTAGGCAGGTTCGTTTCCATTGAGGGCTGCTGGGACGAATTTTCTTTATTGTTTAGCATAGCGACTCAAGCCGACCACCATCAAAATGGTTCGGGCAACCAGATACCCGATGAGCGCCAAGACGCACGAAACCTTGGTTTAAGGCTCCCTACTGGGTGCCTCTTACCGTCTAACAACATTTCGGAGGTGAGCCTATTCGAAAAGTATGCAAATTTAAACGAAGTGCAAGAATTAAGATGCAGATTTTACCCAGATGTAGTATTTACGTATTCATTTGATACTAGGCCTATAGAAAGAAATGAAACATGCATATATGTGAGATTTATGGCATTACAGAGGCATCCTATTGATTTATATGGAGTAGTTTTAAGACATGTCCCGGAACTGGTTTTATCTAACTATATGTGTTCCTATGGGGAAATGGGAGGCATTCTTAGAACATATAATGGGTCATTACTCTGTTTTTCACTACATTGATTCTTGTAAACAGTTTTTCCAGACTACGAGTATTCACTGCGGGGTCGTCTGATTGGTTAATCATGGCCATTGCAGTCGTTGTTTGCTTGGGTAGCTATACTATAACTCAGAAATGAATTAGTACGTTTATGATTGGGAGTCCATTTGTTTTCGAGCGCAATTTTGAGCCAGAACATGGACTGGTGTAAAGTTCTGACTGCAATTGTAAAAACTAAGTGAATAGTAGGTTGTTAGATAATCAACGTAACTGTGTAATAATTGAACTTACTGAGAGAAGCTATGTGTCGATTTCTCGCAGCAGTATCACTGAAAATAGTTAACAGATGAAGTAACTTAGATAATCAACAAAATACGAAAGGGAAAGGATCAATCACTGTGTAAACTGCGTAGAAGAGTTCCATAAATTGAATAGTATAGTGGCGTTCAGTCACATGCTGGAGTACAGTGACCAGATTGTGCCCCTTCAAGAGGCTCTAGCGCACATACTAGTGTTCAGCTTATTTCTTGTCGTGGTGATCTCATTCGGCTCCATCTTGGGGTGTTTTGGAGGTGTCTTGTTATAAATACAGATAAAAGTATGCCAATCAATACTTGTAACTGTATAGCGGGCTTCTAGAGATATGTCGTCTGAAGTGATGATAACCAGTGGTGTCATCCAGGGAATTTATTACCGTATTAAAAGACATTAGTCCGTTTGATTTCAACATTGCAGACACTGACTGGCCAGAAACGATGCAGTTGAATTAGAGCATGCAAACGGTACATAATATATGCAAGCTCTGACAAAACTAAGTCTTATGAGCACAGTAGCATATGGTTTGCTCCTGTGTAGTGTAAAGTGATGCTACTAAACAAGCACAGACTGCTAGTTAAATATGTGAAACATTTCAACTATTTTGGTAAGCACCATAGTATGGTGGTTGTTGATGAGAATTCACTACGTATACAAAAGATCATTTGTCATTTATCTACCTGAGTTATCTTTGATGTCAGTGAGATATCAAAGGATGTTTGTGATGCATGACATTTACTATTGGGAAACTGCCTCTGAGATTAAAAGACGTGTACAGATCAAAGACTGACTGTTGGTTCGTTTACTCAGCTACTCCTTCAAGATGAGACTACATGGTAAGTTGTATTCAAATTAGGCGGTGCACTAGAATGACATAACTGACTGAACGGTTTCAAAGTATAACGTTGCACCGATGTGTAGCAGTTCGGGTAGCCACAATCCATGTAGCCCACAAACTAAGAGAATAAAGTAAAAAGAAATGCGAAACAGAGACAGTAAACAAAGTTCTGAGGCAAAAAGAACAGTAATATCGAAGAACCATATAGTTCCATTGAAAATGATAAGTCACAAGGAGTGGATGCGTCTGCGCCAGCCATTGAGAACGACTTCGAGCCATATCACCAATTGTCTCCAGCCGTTAGTGTTTACCACCGTCCCAAGGAATCCGACCAGTCAGGATGTCTACACTTTCCTAAGTGACTGGCTCAAACTAACTGTTGTGGGTTTCATTGACTGATGAGGCCCTGTTTTAATTTGACTACCACTGGCTCTTTTTCATCCTGATCCTATGTCAGCTAACATCACCCGTCGGTCGAGGAAGGCGATGGCTAGGCATGAGTAACATATGTCCTAACCATCTCATTCGATGTAGCTCCACAGCCCCGTCGATTGATTTTCCCTCCTTACCTAGCACTCGACTGACACTTAACCTCGATATTGGCCATCCTATTATACCACTTCACACAGGAGATAGAACACAAACACCTATGATCAAAGACAGCTAGCCATCCTTTTCATGTTTTCCACTCTCACTGACCAGGTCTCGTAACCATAAATGAGGGCAGAGTGGATTACTGAGCAGTATACACGCCCTTTGCTCGATAGAAATCCGGATATCAAATCTACGCCAGAGACGGCGTAAACTAGCATGTGCGAAACAAGTCTTCTGTATCCGTGCTGCGATTTCGTCAGCCATCAACCCTCTGGCGTTGACTGATACATCTTCCCAAACAAGTGAAGGGGTCAACACGCTCTGCCATTTCACTCCCTGTTTCTAAGCTAAAAGTCAGTGTAGTCCAGTCTTGTAGTATCATGTTACATTTGGCGGGAGCGAATCGCACGCCAAACATTTGTAGATTGCAGCTCAAGGTGTTCAGAAGACTCAGCATTTTGTCAGCGTCTTCACTCTTGTGGGAGGACTATATCATCTGCATATTCTAAGTCAACCAGATTATTCTCTGGTAACAAGTCAATCCCTGTGTCTCTGAAGTGAGTTAGGGTTAAGTCCATTAGTACATCTATGATGAAATTGACAATTTTCAGGTAATCATAAAACTAGTGCATTTATTCATAAAAAATTATAATTGTTGTATTGTTCCAATTTCAGGATCAAGTAGAAAATCTTTTCAGACATGAAAGTGATCAAATTGGATTAACTGAGTCTTATTTCAAACTCCTTTCTGATGTTCAAAAATTACAGCATGAATTTGGAAAAAAGCTCAGGTAGGATATTTCCTGACTAGCATTTTCACTTTTTCTGTACAGAAAGACTGTCTCGATATATTTGCCCAGAAAGAAGCCAGATGTTGATGAACTGTCTTCCGTGTTAACATACTCAAGTATAGTGCCGCAAATTCTTGAAATGGGTGTTGCACACGAGGCTAGTTCTAAAAAGCTCAATGAATCAGTTATCAACCAATTGAAAGCCCAGGTCGAGAACGAAAAAAGGGCTTTAGATAAACAACGTTCGCATTGGTTAAAGTTAAATGGATCAATCGAACAGTCACGTAAGCAGTTGGAGTTGAGTTGGCAAAAGTACGTGACCAGTTTCAAAGAAAAACAGAAAGCACACGAAGTTTCGGAGAAAGCCCAAAGTGATATTCAGTTGGCACGAATTGATCAGCAAAAAGTGAGTTGATTATAATGCACCGCTTACTTCCAAAGTATGCTGTATTGTTGGATCTGTCTCCAGCTAGTTCTGAATACAGGAAGTATGTGCGCTAGTGGGGCAATTTCTAGTTCTGTATGTACCTTTATTGTGTCAAGATAAGTAACATGTCATTTACATAACTTGCACTTCATCACAAACCACTTGTAAAACTCATTTACCAATCGTTTTCATGAGATAGGGTTATTTGGTCTTGAACATTATTTCGAGATATTATGTGTTGAGTGTAAGTTCGACTCAGTAGCAACACAACTTTGAACACTAAGGTGTGCCTTAAATCTATGGTGTAAAGTTTTGCAGTAATATCTGGTTTTTAAATCGGAAGTATAACGAGTAAGATTTCTAACCATATACGGAAAATCAGGGTGATGTACTCCAACCTAGGGCACCTCTGGCGCCGTCCATATGTTACTCTGACCGCCAAAAGTCGAGCTTATAACTCTTCAGTGCGTGGAATTTTTCTTTATTTTTGTGATAACCGGCCTCCAAACTGAGCGTGTGTAGTGACATTGCGCGTCCTATCGTCGATGCGTCTGTGGAATCACTTAAATTCAATGACATCACTGTGAGAAGGATCCTGATCTCCGATGGTTTATTCGTATATGAAGAAAGCAGTCTTTCAGCTTGTAGTCATCTCAGGACAATGGTTTTGGTTGATTGGATATATGCTACGAATATCGTACCTGTAGTTTCCATACTGTTCATCTTTTACTATGGAACTGGATAGAAAGATCAGAGAGGAGATCAGCCTGTAACGTAACTTTTTGGGAATAAAGGATAGTTGTTTTTGTTTGGGCATATATTCGTGCATCACGACCTCCTGGGTGGAGCCCGTAAGATCGCATGGTTTGAGACATTATCGACTGTAAATCAGAATAGGAGGCACTAGCGAAGATATACCGCAATTCGTTCATATTTTCTTTTGGGGAAAGTAATATGAAGCAATAAACACCCTTTTAGATGCTTTTGTTAAGTGTACCTAGCTGCTTCTATCCTGTCATTCCTCAACAATTTCTCTTTCATGTACTGCTGTTTTCTTTTGTGTTGCCTTATTCCTTGTATCTATCTTTTTCGTTTTGAATTAAATGCCTCTACGCTCAAGGATACGGTCCATGTGACGCCCCAATCGCTTTGAGTTTTTAGTGAAAGCAATTTCATTTACTAGACATTTGGCAGAAATATACTTACTTTCTTAGAATATTGGTCCTATAAAATGATATGAAATAAATAAATATAATTGAATATGTCTTTTACTTCGTCAGAAAAACCAACCTTCTCTAATCAAGCTGACCCTTAACTAGCATTTAAATATACCGAACTAAGTAATTTTATACAATGTCAGTTGTATGCTGATTTCACTGTACAAAAGAATCTCTGCTAAACTCATTAGGATTAAATAAAATTATCATAATTGTAACCTTTCTGCGTATACGTCGGAAAAGACGTTCGTGGTTTTTCGTAGCATAGTGTTATATTGTCAGTGAGTCCTTTCATATGATTTACTCAACCTCCATTAATCTTCAAAATAGATGATACCTTCAAGCACATAAGCTGATAGAATTCAGTATTCAACTACTAACCATTAAGTGACAAGCTCAACCTTTTCCTCATTGCCGTAGTTATTGGCCCTAAAACACAAGGATGTGAAGAAATATCATACAATGTTCAGCTAGTATAGAGTTACTAGTTCCCTAAATCGAACATCTTATATTTGTCACTCTTCACTTGCTATTTTGAAATGAGTTTGTATTATTCTGGGAGCTTGGGTATTGAACACTATTGGTCAGGTTGATACTTTCGGGGTCATCAAGATGTTTACCTCATTAGGTTAAAACTCGAAATTGCGTACTGTCTTTTGCTTTGGTTTTTATAGTCCTGTTTACTGCTGTTTACCGCTATTCTTAAACAACTCTAAGGTCAAGTCATAAGATCTTGCTATTTTGTATGGTTTTAAAGTGAAGATATTCATTACAATTTCTTCTATGAGTTGACACATATTCTACTTAAGCTGCAGTTGTATTATAGGTAAATATAGTGTAACTGTAGGCCAGCTGGACTGCTCCTCAAGGTGTTTTCTGCAAAATTCTAGCCTTTGTGCACGGAAAGTTGCGTCTTCCTCGAGATGGCTTTGCTTGCCATTATTTCTAGGGTATTTCTAGGGTGGCATCTGTTATCTGATTGGGTATGGAATTAAGACGTCGAACACTAATTTGACTGCGTGATCTTAAGAGACTAGAAATGATGTTTCAATGTCTTAAGTCGTTAGGAATATTCTTAAAATTAAGAGAATTTGAAGGGATTGTTTTGGAAAATACTAGTGGCAGTAAGAAAAGATGTAGATATTTGAAGAGAAAAGATAAGGGGAGCACATGATTAAATAATAAGTTTGATGTGTTTATAAATTCGTCTCGGCCACTAATATGCATCCGGCCTACCCAAACTGGTCGAATCGATTTCTCCTTTGAGTACAGATATACAAGTTTCTAAACAGACCTTATCTAACCTTTACTCTCTAAATTAAATAGAAAGCACTACCGGCTTGCTAATCGTGTGACAGGAAACATGCTACTGTTAGCATACTTCTCCGTCGTCAGTAAAACTCCATCTTCAAGGTGCATATTTGCAAGTTTTGGGTGATCTTATTTCATCATGTAATTCACATCAAGGAATTGAAGCAATGCTATTCTTGGATGCTGAATTTATCTCTGATTTTATGAATCCTTTTTTTATTTATACATACGAACGACATTACTTACTGGCCGGGTAAAATTATGCCTAAGATGTTGACTTCTGGATATTGCCATAAAAAGCTTTGATACTGAAGCCGTAGCGCGTATTGTTGGGTACGTACGTAAGCGGTATTCAAGTAATATTAAGTTTTATTAGTATCTCTATTGTAACTCGCATTTACCATGTCTCACTGATGCAGTGGAACGTTTTGCTTATTTTGGTTTGCATATAGTTTGATGCTCTTTACCAAAGCAAATTGCAATCCTTCGATCAAACTAGTCGAAATTATGCTGATGAGTTGGCGAAGTACAATACAGCAAATCGACGCCATTTTACAACTGACATAGTGGCTTTTGTAGATGATATGGAGTGTTCAAGTCGTTTGAGAAATGAACGTGTTCGTGAACTTTTGACAATGGTTACGCGTATAAATGAAGAAACAATAGCCAAACTTACAAATTGTAATCGATTAATTTCGGAGGCTGTCTCTGCTCTTGATTCTTCACATGTGAGTTTTAACCCATTTTATAATTTCATGTTAGCATGTTTTTTGTGATAATCAAATGATCAGATGTCATATGATGATACCGTCTTATATGAACGCCCGCCTCGAATAACTACATTGGTTATTTTATAGAGTCTTTGAAGTATTTACTGGTTCGATAGAAATGGTCTTCACTGGGGTTATTAGATTCTGTCAACTCGATGATGTATTTTGTACAGGATTTAGGACATGGTAGAAACGACAGTATGATCTTCCTTTATTGAATTTTCATCAAGAAAACGAGTTATCTCATTAAAAGGCATTTGTTCAATTCATAACTTCCTTTTAAACTCATGTAGTGCTGTCAGATTTTTTTATGGGTGGGTGGCACAGCGGTTGGGATGCTCGCCAACCATGCACATAGTTCGGGGTTCGATCCCCAACCGATGCACTTCTTTACCTCGCTAAGCCAGTAATGAAAAAAGCTGGTAAAGAGATAAGGTTGGGGATGAGACTGGCAACCCCATCCTGTAAAAATAAACACTGCTACAGAAACTCCAAGTCTCTCTAGCTTAAAGTCCTATGTTCCACTGCGAACGTGAAAGAATAGAAAAAAATGCTGTCAGATATGCCTTAGTCATACTGTCTTTTCTGTTTATATTTCATCAGTTATGTCACTTAATTTCTTCACTTATAACAGGCAACTCTTAGTCCTTTTAATGACAGTAGTTTTCTCTGATATCTTGTTATTCTTAACACAAATACTTCATTGAATCTGCCGATGACAGGTCTTTCAAATCCGTAAAATAAACCAGTGTAATAATATTGACTTGATGGGATAATAAGATAAAGTAAAGATGTACCATTAAACAGAGTTAAATAGAACACTTCAGATATTTGCAAGACAATGCTAGTCTTTATTAGTGCTCTCGGACCTCTTATTTCAGTAGTACAGTGTATACTTCCAAATAATTCTTACAAATAGTAATGACTCTTACGATGATGGATTTGTTCAGTCACTGAATGCATATTTTTAGTGGAGTAACTACCGAAGAAACAGCAATACAGAATATTCATCAGGAGGATAGTCGACAGTTATACAATGTGTGTGTGTGTGTGTTAGCAAAGCAATTGCTGTATGCTTATGGTTAGCTAACATTAGAATGACCAGCTCAGATATAAGTATGAAACTTGGGCATTGTGGTAGAGTATAACTCCATTGTGGATAAGATTTTATTTTGATAAACCACACATTATTATACAGTAATATTTACTGATGACCACGTTTGGAGCACAAATTATTATTGCTCATAATCAGATCAAGTCACTCACTCACACAACGTTTTCGCTTCATTTATGTACATGAGTAAAAATTGATGATTAGACATTTGACTGAAATCAATATAAGATGAAGTACATTCAAAAACAATATCAGTGTCATTAATAAAATACAGTCAGATGGGAAATACGATGTTTTTATAGTAAAATAAATTACTTGTTAGACTGTTATAATGTGAATGGAATACATTTCAACATTATTCACTATTCTCCGATTTGACTGGTAATACTATCTTCCATATCTCTGGTATTTGCGTTGAATCATTTCAGTTGTATGTGTTTGATGTAGACTCGATGAACCAGGCAGGATTCAGCAATCAACTTCTCTCTCTCCACCTACCCAGATTACTTTTTAGAATTTTGACCCTGTCCCACCCACCCTATTGTGTGGTTGTGTGTTAATGCATGCAGGGCGATTGCTGAGTTTTTTTTCTGAATTACTTATCTTCGTGGGATCAGTCATTCTAACCTTAGCTAAATTTGTATGTTCTGATAATCTCACTACTCCTGCGAGTTCCTCATTCGTATATAATTCTCGGAATAAATTGTGATGTTTCCGTTGGCCGTTTTTGTTCACACATTCATGTGCAGAATTGTTTTTCAAAGTTAGGTCAAATACTTATTGCTTAGTCCGCATACATATATAATTCCTGGGATTGTGATGACTTCAGCAATATTCTATAGCACTGCTGTCTTTTTTATTAATGAAATGAATTTCTGATTTCATACAAGAGGTTGACTCATCACTGTTTTGCTTCATGAAGTACACATTTTATTGTTTCTTGAGATTGCATAAAAAGGCCCTTAGTACCTTGGTAACATACATTCAATAAAACATTGTCTAATGATTCACTCATTACACTATCATATCTCGCTGAATAACATTCATAAATGAGACTTAATTATTGTTTTTAGAATGAAAATAACTTGAAATTGTGAAAGGATTAAGTCAAAATGCTGTGAAATACGTTATATGCTAATAATCATAGTGTGGTGTATGTTCTACTGATAAATCTTATCAGTAGTATATGGAGAAACGTTCATTGGCATTAAAACATCAAATAGAAGGGAGATAGATTTGATGATGTCAGAGAAAGTAAATGATACAGCGTTGCAGAGATACATGGGAGACGTGAAAGGAACACAAAGAAACACAATATGAAGACTAGAAGTAACACAACAGGGCAGATCATCTGTGCAAGTGGTGCTGCGTTGAAGATAGGGTGTAGATAATTTCGTTACATTAAGATACCCAATTCCAAATAAATAAATAATCCTTTACCAAGTCCTTCGTCTTCTACCGTCACAACAGTATTTAGGGTACCGAGTTAATTGTACAGCGTTAACTTCTGTCTGTCTGGTCTCAACATAGAACTTGGCACCGAACTGCAGGAGTTCGAGTTACCACGTTCCAAATAGCACACAAAGCCAGACAAGAAGATGGGTGAAGAGAATCAATAGAGTTTGACAGGTATAAAAGCGAAATAGAATGGGTAATGATAGAAAGAAATATGGAAGTTTACAGAGACTGAATACATCTGCGCTGGCCATTGACAACGATTTTGAGCCATGTCACCTATTGTCTCCAGCCATTGATTCTTAGAGTCCCGAGGGCGCCAACCCGGAAGTCTGCATCTTCCTACCTGACTCAGCTTAACTGTCAAGGATTTCATGGATTGATGAAGTCATGTTTTTGTTTGGCCACCACTTACTCTTTTCCAACCTGCACCACCTATATCAGCTAGTAATGCCCGTCGGGCGGGGGAGGCGATGGTTAGGCATTCGCAGCACGTGACCTAACCATCTCAATCTATGTAACTTTATAGCCTCGTCGGTTGATTTTCCCTCTTTGCCCAACACTACGCCTAACGTCAACATTACTTACCTTATTAAACCACCTAACGTGAGAAAGAGATCGTAGACATCTATGATCGAAAGTAGTCAACCTTTTCATGTCTTCAACTCGTATTGGCCATGTTTCAGAGCCATAGAGAAGGACTGAGGGAACTGATGAGCAGTACACACGTTCCTTGGTTGATAGTCGGCTGTCACGCTTACGCCAGAGATGGTGTAAGTCAGCGAAAGCAGCTCAAGCTTTTTGGATCCGTGCTGAGATTTCGTCGTCAGCGTTAACTTGAATAGTGTTCATGAAATTAAGCATAGTATATTATGCTGTTTAAAGTAATAAGTAACTATGGATTAATATGTCTGAGAAAATTTTGTTATACCTTTTAAAACTTATTTTTCAGCTATTCGGGTGCACTTTTTGCCTGTGCTAAGTAAAATGTTCATGGATTGTATAAAGTTCTTTGCATGAATGAACTGTATTGCCTTATAAATTCATACAACTTAAATATTCTTACAAGTGCAATATTTGTTTTCTTTTCTTCACCATAGGATGCAGCTGAGGTAATAAAACGATTACATACAGATGAACAACCTCCAGCTGATTTACCTTTCCTTGACTTGGATAAATGTCCTCCAAGTATTTTAGACGGTCCTACATCCGATTTAGGTGCTTTAATTCTGGGTGTTGAGTCTGCAGCTAGTTCAAATCAATTAAGTAATTCAGGAAGTGCTATTTCAATTCCGAGCAGTGGAATGATGAGTGGTTTCATTCGTTCTGCTCACAAAAATTCAAAGGATGATTACCCGAGTTTACGTTCACCATTCATATGTGGTATTAGTATTAAAAGTATTAAAGTAAGCTTGTAAAAGTGACTATCTTCAGTTTTTCTAATAATTTATGTGTATAAAGTCAGGGTCCACTTTGTAATGTGTATCCTATTGTTTGAGCTGATGAGGTTTTTTCTTTTTTTGGCACAAAAGATACAACAAGAGGTTGATTTGTTCTTAGGATTTTTTCCTCTTTTCTCTTGAGTTCGTTTTTAAGTGGTACCATATAGACGTTTGACGTAGAATCAATTGTTAGCTTTCGTAAAAGAGATATACACCCCTGTCTCTGTCTTCTCGTAAAAACCAATTAATTTCCCGAATAATAATGTCATACACTTTTTGTGCATACAAGATATTTTCAAAAATGTGTAATAAATAAGTAGATATCTTATTAGTTACAGAGAACTGTAGTTTAGAATGACAGTGATAGCTATCTGGTTCTCGGAATATACACATTGGGTCATAGGAGTTATTAAGAAGACAGTTGCAGCGAAGAAAAGTTTCTTTTTGACGAAGTCATCAACTAGGCTGTACATTCGTGTATTTATATTAATGTTCCAGAAAAAATTTCCAATTAAGGGTCAAATTAATAAAAATTAAAATTAGGAATTAGAATGCCATAAACAGGGGGACGGATATAAAACTCAAACATAGTAGCATCATAATAACTAAGAAAATTGACACTGTGCAATTAAGGGTTAGAAATGTAGAAATAACAAAATAGACAGGATGTTTGGATAAAAAACTGTGATGAATAATTGTTCATGCAATCAGGGATTAAATATGTAGAAATAGTAAAATGACAAAATAAACACTAAGTTCGGGTATGAAAATATGGTAGTGTAAACAGGGATTAAGAAAAACTTAAAAGAATAACATGAATAAACAGGAAGTTCAGGTAAGAAAGGCGATGGGATGGTCATTACTAGAAAAATTAACTGTTTATGATGGCAATGGCAGGGACGGGGTTTGGACGTATTTCTTTTGGATACAAAGCGTGGGTTTGAGCTTTTGGGTAGCTAGCGCCTCGGCTATGCTCAGATGTCTTGATTTCACTCCCCCTGATAGTTTTGATTGAATCTTGTATATTACTTTGAAAGATTTTTCGAAAGGTGCTGAATGCCCTGAATTGACCAGATGTTCTGTCACTGAGCTGTATACACGCTTTTGGTCTTCTTTTACTAGCCAGGCTAGGTAGTGTTCACGAGCGCGTTTTTCAAGTCGGCGCATGGTACGGCCAATGTACTCAGCTCCACAAGAGGAAGTAAACTGGTACATGCACGTTGATGTGACCCAATGCGACAACTTGTCTTTCGCGTTCTGGTTGAACAGTATCTTGCAGGGAAACGTCAATCGTAGGCTCGCGGCGAAGTATGTTTTCCTCAGCGATTTGGAGAGGCGTTTACGGAGGATTTCTACTTCAATATCACATTTGAATTCTAGATTAAGCATAAGTATTTTCTTTGGAACGGATCGGACTTGTTCAGAAGTCTTCTTAGATTTGAGATTCTTGTCTATGAACCTGGGCAGGAAACCGTTTTCCATCAGGGTTTTTCGGAGATTACGCAGTTCTTCTTCAACCACTTCCCAGTGCATATCTTGCGAATTCGTATATCAGGTTCCACTTTCTGTTTAGGGGTACGAAGCTTTGAAAGTTGATGAATTGTCCATTCCATGTAAGCTCTTTGTAAATGGACCTTTTCAGAGAGTTGTTGGCGTTTCTTGTCAGATGGACGTCGAGGAAGTGGAACATTTCGTCAGATTCAGTCTCTCTCTGATTCTGCCTTGGGTGGATGGAGTGTCAGTTACTTTTAGTCATCTCCTTAATTTTTCATTATCACGCATCAAGTTGATATTAACTCACTGCCTTAACTCTTATTACTTTATGGTAGAAGTGATTACCAAGTTCTTCTGTATCTTTCTCCATCTTATTACTTTCATTCACTTTCTTATATTCTTAAAACATAGTTAAAATTTCTTTACTTGCTTAAAACTCTCAAAAATTTCACCTTCTTTCCACATATAATGTAGTAAGTAGTACACGTGAATCGTCTGATTCTGATATGATCGATTGTATCTGATGATGCTTATTGTTAAGTCACCATGCTAATTATTAGCGCATTTTTTGTAAAATTCAGATAATTAGTCATAGAGTACACACATTTTTTTCTCTATTAATATAATTAAAATCGCATTAGTGGGGGCAGACTGAATTTATACGATTGTGTGATAAACAAAACAAAAAAATAAGAAAAAGAACCCTTATAAATTCCTAGAAGTATACAGCATTATCAAATTACGATACATTCTATTTTAGCTTATAGTTGAAATTCGCAAACAAAATTTTTGTTCCAAGAATTGTACTGAAAATTGATAGCGCTAATCAATATTTATCTGTGTGATGAAACAGTGTAAATTATCTGGTCATTGATTTCTTTTTTTTTTCACTCTGGCCATCATCAGGTAGTTTTGACTTAGAGGTTGTTGTTGCAGTTTCCTTCGTCATTTTCCCCAATAAGAATGCGTTTTTCTCTTCTCGCTAAGATGTAAATTGAAGCATTTTCAGCCGTTGAAACCCGTGTATAGCAGCTGGTGAGGATTTCAATTCTTTACTGGCCTATAGTGTGTGCTTTTATTGTCATTAGCGTAGCCCCATTCCTTTCACTATATATTATTATTTCCTTTAATCCTTAGAGCAACATAGGGCTTCAGCCGCACGCATCCATTGCGTTCGGTTCTCTGCCAACGTTTTCTTCCCGCTCCAAGTCTGCCCACACGCTTTCATCTCCTCTTCCCATGACCTCCTCCAAGTCACCCTCTCACTAACGACCAACTCGCCGCTTCCCTTTCGGATTACACTCGAGCAATGGCTTGTCTAGTGATGTCACTTGATGGTTTCTTTGCTCAGCGTATGGCCAATCCATCTCCATTTCTTCCTGCCTATTTGTTTCACTATCGGTTCCTGCTGAGTTGGTTCGCTCATTGCCAGAGATCCATGTTTCTGATCTTTTCTGGCCGGCCATCTGATCTTGAGTAGTATTGAGCGAAGACCACTGTTAATGAAGGTCTGGAGTTTGTTGGAGATGCTCTTTATGACGCGCTGGCCAAGTCTCTGATCCGTATAGCGAGTAGTACTGACTTCACATTGGAGTTGAAAATCCGGATGTTATTTTTGATGCTGAGTGCTGTTGACCTTCACACAGACTTGAGAGTAATGAAAGCTTGTCTTGCTTTCCCGATTCTGGCTTTGATATCCTCGTCAGTTCCGTCCGCCTGTAGTTGAAACGATGCTTCCCAGGTAGGTAGGTAGGTAGGTAAAGGAGGTTGTTTCTTTCATGTTCCTCCCATTTATGCTGGCTGATTGTTGTCTGTTGTTGTTGTTGCTGTTGATGTTGGCCAGGAATCTTCATCACTTCTGTTTTATCTATGTTCACCTGAAGTCCTTTCTTCTCTAGATGTTTCTTCTGCCAACTTGTTGCTTTTTACTTGCATATCTTCCAGTTTGTGGGAAATCAGACATATATCATCGACGAAGTGCAGATCCTCCAAGTCTTTTGTGTGAGTCCATTTTATGCCTGTTTCCTCGTTGGTTGCCGTTGTCTGTCGCATTATCCAATCTACTGCAATCAGGAAGATCATTGTTGATAGTAGGCAACCTTGCCTTTCTCCTGTCCTCACTTCGAAGGCTTTCGTAAGTTTCCTGTTGTGGATTACTTGGCATGCAGTGCAGCATTGTCGTACAACTGTTGGATGAGATGTATGATTGTCAGTAGCACCCTTTCCTTTCAATGGTCGCCTTTAATTTGTTCCCCAAGTTTTTGAAAGCCATGTACTCTTTTTTTTATGAAATGCATTTCACACTGATGACGTTTTGTTTAAAGGTTCTTTTTTTATCGTGTAAGGCATAAGATACATACTGTTTATCATAATATGAAAACAATTAAATTGCGTGGTTTATATATTTATGCATCAGTGTGTTAACCACGCTATACCTGCGCTTTATAATACTGTCTGAAATTGATGAAGTGAAACGTGAACCCTTGGTCTTTGTTAACTGGGAAGTCTAGTGATTTAAGCGCGCTACTCCACTTTCTTTGTTTGTATAATTGATTGAGCATGTAAGAAAATCATTACAGTCGATGTCCACTTTATGGAATATTAGGTTAATCAGCTGAATTGCTATCATACTCATGATGTTTGGTATTATTGACTCACTATGATCACGTGATGGCTATTCATAAAATCCAATTGAATGACTGAACTCATATCTAATTGCGTTATTGAATCACAACCCAAATACTAAGTAGTGATATATTAATATCTTCATTGTTTAATTGTGAAGTTTTTTGATGGACTGATGTCATAACATTGAGATTTGGGGCTTGAAACCGCACAGGGTCATGGGTACACATAGCGAGAATTCCGTAGACTAAAACGAAGAAGTGTACAATTGGTGGATGGTGGCTAGCAGTGGAATCCAGGATGCGCATTTCGTCCTATTTGGGACTCGTTTGGGGACTCAATTCAATAAAACGAAGAAGCTTTATAGTGAGTTTTTGTTTTCAGTAGGTCTTTAGTTGATGTCACCTTGCACGCCACTTACTTATGCCCACAAAATTTCAAGTTTCACCTACTAAATGAGAGGTAGTCAAGAGAAGAAGTGTTGGGTTACCAGTAGATAAGAATTAGAATCTTGGGAGTAGTTGTGCGTAGTCCTATCCATTGTTAATACTGCACAAAAGTTCTGCAGTACATAACTTATACTTCTGTACTTGTAAAGGCAGCAGGTAGATTAAGGGCTTTATTCGAGCTGTTGAAACAAAAGTAGACAGTCATAAATTTAGCGATTTGTTTTTCCTTCTTTTTTTGAAATAATCCCATTCAGGTAAGTGTTACCGCTAAATATTTACCTCATTCCCTATTGACTTTATTCTGAATATAATATTTATTTATTTATTTTAAAAATTTTAATCTCAAGAACTCAGATCTGACTATCAGACAAGTTGCTAATCGACTGAAGGTATTGAAGGAGTTGGTTGTCAAGACTGAAAATGAACTGTAAGTTTTAGTGTGAATATAAGTTGATCAAAGTATCTACAGTAATACATTTTAATAAGTATTTTGATGAGTTCTCATTTTACTCTCAACTGCATTTAATCTCTCTGTGACTGATACACGTGTTAGTTGTTATTGATAATAAAAGAAAATAAAATGAAGGTAAAAGCAAAGGCCCGAAAGAACCCACAGGGTGCCGAAGAAATTCCTACTTATGAAAATTGGGTTTATAGGTGATATGGTGGCTGAGATTCTGAAGTACCACTTATGCAGATCACTGAGAAAAGCCTTCTTTTCGGTTGAGCTACGGATCAGCTTTCACAGCCAACAAATGATCAGTGAATTTGTAAAATATAAACTGCCGCTTTGGACCACTTCAGTGTGTGTTTATAAATTCACTTATTCCTGTAGCGCTAGTTATAATTGGCCGCATAGAGCGCACCTTTTCCAAATCCATCTCTGAAAATTATCCAGTATGGTTAGCAAAAGGACAATTCAAGGCAGTTACTAACTCAGTTCTCGAGCGAGTAGTGAATTTAAGCCAAGCAGTTCCACCGGAGTCGTCTTTCAAGATTATCTACCAGGTGAGACCAAATGGTACAAAAGGCCTATTTGAACTCAAAAGGCCGTTAGATTTTGGTATTTGTGTATGGCGGAGGCGTTGGCAATTCGTCAATACAACCCCGAACTCTTTATATGGAAAAATTTTGTCCAGTCTCTTATTCTACCATGATCTCAACCTTTTCACTAGCCGTTCCCAATAAATTTTTTATTTTTAATGATTAGTTAGCTTTTTCTTTTTACTAATTAATTCACTATTATCAATCTCATATGTTCCTGTTGCACATTTTCTCATTTTTTTCATACTTGTTAAATTGGCACTCAATTAACTTTCTTCTCACTAAATAATAATTTTAAGCTTATCGAATTTTTAACCCTTTCCTTCCTTTATGCTATTGAGTATTAAGTAATTTACAATTTTTACTTTTGAAGCCACTTCTGAGTGATTATGTCATTTATGTCACCTCATCTCTATTACTCAATAGTGAACTACTATGCAATTCTGGTAAATATAAATACGACTGTACAGCCTCTGACTTCGTGGATAAAGAAATTTTTCTCCACTGAATTGTCTTTTATTTTCTTCATGATGATAAAAGACATTCAATATCATGTTTGAAATTTTTTCCTATCGTACAAAATTGATTTCATGGAAGTACACTTACCACCTGACCTCTCCGACTCTGCGTATACGATGATCGCTGCCTCTGTAGAAGTGCTTGCACCCGATAGCATCATCGTGTAAATAATTCACAGGTTTGGCAGCGTGTGTTTGGAGAAAGTGAAATTCACCTTTCATTAAGTGTGGTTGTTGGGAAATACTTTTCGAATGTCATTCCGGAGTTTCTCCAACCACTTTTTGTTTACTACTCCTGGTTCTGGATAGAAGACGCAGAGGTGGCCAGTGTATGAAGTGCTTAGATTAGCATCCGTTGGTATACCACAACTTCCCGAGTGAGGCTTGAGAAACATGAAAGTAATATGAATAATGAATAATCTTAACAAGTATGGTTACTTACTTTCTCTCTTTATTCTATCTCTTTTCTCCTTAAGTATGGTTTTATTATTTTGTTTGGTACGGAATCCAAGTGCTGGGAATATGTGAAAGCAGATGGAACGGGTGAGTCAGTGATCTACTCCGGTCACCCAGAAGATAACCACACGCACACCGAGGGCGTGGCTATCATGATGTCACCAACGGCAACGAAAGCCCTGATACAATGGGAGGCGATCTCGTCCAGGATAATGACCGCCAGATTCAACTCCAAAGGAAGGAAAGTGTCAATCATACAATGTTATGCACCCACAAACAACGCAGACCTCGAAAAGAAAGAAGAATTCTACAGGCAACAATGGACAATACTCCAGCTGGCGACATGAAAATACTAATGGGAGACATGAACGCCAAACTGGGACCAGACAACACAGGAAGGGAACTCATCATGGGTAGAGAAGCTCTAGGAGAAATGAATGAAAACGGAGAACTCTTCGCCGACTTCTGCGCCTTCAACGAACTAGTGATTGGTGGCAGTGTATACAAGCACAAAGATATCCACAAGGCTACATGGGTGTCACCAGACGGGCAAACCAAAAACCAAATCGACTTCATCTCAATCTCAAGGAAGTGGAGGCGCAGCCTACTGGACACAAAAGCAAGAAGAGGAGCAGACGTTGGCTCAGACCACTATCTCGTACAAGGGACAATCCAAATCAAATTAAAAGCTTTCAGGGAATCAGGAGCTGCAGATAGACCACAAGCCAAGTTCAACACTCAAAAGCTGAAGGACCAGGCTACAAAGGACATCTTCATTGCAAGCATAAAGGACAAAGCCGAGACACAAATCAACACCAGCGAAGAGGTCGGCGTCGAAAAGCACTGGAACAACTTGAAAACGGTGTGGAGCCAAACCTGCATAGAAATTCTAGGCAGAAAAAAGAGACAGGACAAACAGTGGCTCACTACGGACACTTGGAAACTAATAGAAGAGAGAAGGACAGTGAAACAAAAGATTATCCAGTGCACTGACGAGCAACAAAAACAGGAGCTGAATGCAAGCTACAATACACTGAACAAAAGAGTGAAGGAGAGTGCCAGGGAAGACAAAAGAAAATATTATGAAACCATGGCAAACGAAGCAGAACAAGCTGCAGGCAAAGGAGACCTCGCCACACTCTACCAAACAACTAGGCACCTTTCGGGCAAACGTTCGACACAGATTAAGCCAATAAAGGACGACAATGGAAAGTCAATCACCAAAGAGGTGGAACAGAGAAAGCACTGGGTTGAACACTTCAAAAGACTTCTAAATCGTCCGCCACCTACAACCGCCCAACAATACCAACAACGGAAGCAGAACTACCAGTGAACACTGACCCCCCGACGAAATCAGAAGTCCTGAATGCAATCAAGATGCTAAAAGCTGGGAAAACACCGGGACCAGATGGAATCCCAGCAGAAGCTTTGAAAATAGACCCAGAGACAACAGCGGACTTGATGACACCACTGCTGGAGAAGGTGTGGAAAGAGGGCAAAGTACCCGAGGATTGGAAGAACGGATACTTATTCAAACTTCCAAAGAAAGGAGACTTAAGTCAATGTAAAAACTGGCGTGGAATTATGCTTCTGTCCATTCCAAGCAAGATACTAAGTCGCATCATCCTGGAGAGAATCAAACAAGCCCTAGATGAAAAACTTCGTCCGGAACAGGCTGGATTCAGGAGAAACAAATCATGTATTGATCAAATCGCCACTCTACGGATCATCATTGAACAAAGCTTGGAATGGCAGTCACCTCTCTATCTCAACTTCATCGACTTTGAAAAGGCCTTCGACAGCGTCGATCGAGAGGTCATTTGGAAACTACTTCGCTACTACGGGGTCCCATCGACAATTATACATCTCATCCAACAGTTATACGACAATGCTGCATGCCAAGTAATCCACAACGGGAAACTTACGGAAGCCTTCGAAGTGAGGACGGGAGTGAGGCAAGGCTGTCTACTATCACCAATGATCTTCCTGATTGCAATTGATTGGATAATGCGACAGACAACGGCAACCAACGAGGGAACAGGCATAAAATGGACTGACACAAAAGACTTGGAGGATCTGGATTTCGCCGATGATATATGTCTGATTTCCCATAAACTGGAAGATATGCAAGTGAAAAGTAACAAGTTGGCAGAAGAAGCATCAAAGATAGGACTTCACGTGAACATAGATAAAACAGAAGTGATGAAGATTCCTGGCCAACATCAACAGCAACAACAACAACAGACAACAATCAGCATAAATGGGAAGAACCTGAAAGAAACAACCTCCTTCACCTACCTGGGAAGCATCGTCTCAACTACAGGCGGAACTGACGAGGATATCAAAGCCAGAATCGGAAAAGCAAGACAAGCTTTCATTACTCTCAAATCTGTGTGGAGGTCAACAGCACTCAGCATCAAAAATAAGATCCGGATTTTCAACTCCAATGTGAAGTCAGTGCTACTATACGGATCAGAGACTTGAGCGCGTCATAAAGAGCATCTCAAACAAACTTCAGACCTTCATTAACAGTGGTCTTCGCTCAATACTCAAGATCAGATGGCCAGAAAAGATCAGCAACAGGGATCTCTGGGAGCGAACCAAGCAGGAACCGATTGTGAAACAAATAGGCAGGAAGAAATGGAGATGGATTGGCCATACGCTGAGGAAACCATCAAGTGACATCACTAGACAAGCCATTGCTCGAGTGTAATCCGAAAGGGAAGCGGCGAGTTGGTCGTTAGTGAGAGGGTGACTTGGAGGAGGTCATGGGAAGAGGAGATGAAAGCGTGTGGGCAGACTTGGAGCGGGGTGAAAAAGTTGGCAGGAAACAGAAGGCAATGGATGCGTGCGGCTGAAACCCTCTGTTCCTCTAGGAACTAAAGGATACAACAATAATAGTAATTTTGTCTGGTGCATCTTTCGGTGCCTATAATGTACCAAGTCTGTATTTTTCATAGTAAAATTAATAAGTACAATAACTTAGTTTCCTAGATATTATTTTATTTGTGATAATCGAAGTTGGTTGATGTTGGAGAATAAACATGCATTATCTTCAGGATAATTTCAGTTCCCTAGTTATTCCATTGTCTGCAAAAAATATGCAAGTGCAAATTATATCATCTAATCATCTAATATGCCTCATGATTCTCTGCGGGGTTGTATTGTTAAGTACTTTGCCTCTCACGAGATTCTGTGTTGTGAAGAAGATGTACTTATAGCTGTAATTCTTCGTTATTTCTATAGGACACTAAGTGGCAGTGTAATACCAGGCATTTGTACTTTTTGTATTGTATAGAAGAAATCTTATGGTCTCTAAAATAAAGTATGTTGTATATCATTATCTAATTTATATGTGATTGTATCTAGGTTACTTACGTGTAAATGATGGCGTTGTAGAATTACAGTG